AGGGCCACTGTCTAGATCATAGGTAGCACCTTCTCCCTATGTCCTCACATGGTGGAAGGGGTGAGGGAGCTCTCCAGGGACTCTTTTAATGGCACTAATACCTAATCACTTCCTGGAGGCCCCACCCTCTACTTCCCTCACCTTGGGGAATCAGTTTCCCCAAGTGAATTTACCTCAGCATTGCCCTTGGTGAAGTTTGCTGAGTCCCTCTCTGCAGTTCTGTGCCCTCCCCATCTCTGATCCTCTTTGTCCTGGTTGCAAAACCCCTTAGCTTAATCTACTGCTCCTCACTCCATTCATGGGACATCTGCTTCCTGCAGTGCTCCATATTTAGCTCACTGACAGGGTGCAAGATCCCTGTGCCAGCGTAGTCTGAGTCAAAGACGTCTCATTTATCTCATTTCATTAGGGGCCTGATTGCAGACTTATCCAGTGTGGATCTGTTTCAGAAGGGCTTTTCCACTTCTGAGAGCAGTCAGCTTCCTCATTTTTGGTAAATGAACTGAGCTGTAGCCTTGGTATGAAGCCAGAATAAGATTGGAGGGAGGGGCCAATGGCAGACGAGTTGATAAAGCAAATGAAGCTCTCTCTTCAGTCACATGGCTTGGGCAGCGTGTTCTGGCCTGGTCAACAAGTTCAAGTACCCACGTCATATTCCTTAGTGTTGCCGAGAGGCTGTGTGAATCAGAACTAAGCTCCTGAGGTACTGGGCCAGACACCGTCATAGGCATCCCAGGGGCCTGTGCCCCGATTACTTCTGACCACTCTTTGAGCCCATGTGGTCCTAAGGAGCCTAGTCCCAAGTCCACTGCAGTCATCAAAGAGAGGAGGACTGGAATGGCTAGAACTAGGGCAGGGTTTGAGACATTTGGGACGCGGGAAGACCACAGGACTTGGGTCTGTAGTCACAATATTGATTAAATTTCTGCTATGAGCTAAACCTTGTCCAGTGTGGATAAGGATAAGTTAGGACGCAAAACCAAAGTAGTCTGTGTCCTCCTCAGCCTTAGAGTCAGGTGGGAATGCAGTTTGATAGAAGGGTGGGGTAACACAATCATCTCCTGGCTTCTATGGTACCATTACTGACACAAGAATGATTGGAAAAGGAGTTGGGGTGAGGGTGTGTATTTATAAGGGTTTGCTCAGGAAAATGGCACCCACACGTTTTGAGAAGAGCTGAATATAGGAATTAGAGCTAGTTTGAACTTGGGATGCTGGAGGATGGAGGTTTGGAAGGAGGAAGATGACGGAGCAGAGATGCCCTGGCTCAGAGGGGAACACTGGTCCTATAGGAAAACCCTAACGAGCCATTCAACTGCTCAGCAGGACCACAAAGGGTGCTGGGGGACAGATCTGGGGATCACCACCCAGAGGTGGGTGCAGGGTCTCTGTTGGTCAGCAGGGCAGTCCAGCCAGTGCATCCTGGGAAGGGCCAGGGAAACCCAGCAGCTTCTGGGCACCTTCGCGGGAGTCCAGCCCCACATGGCTTGAGAGTGGGAACCTCTGGGTCACTTTGTAGCAAGTGATGATCTTGCTACTCTTGGTGGTTCGCAGCTGGGATGAGTGCCTATAGCAGAGAATGGATTGACGAGAACAAACAGACATGTATTCAGTGCATACCTCAGGCTTATATGGGACAGACCCAGGGAAATGAGTGACTCTCACAGAGGTGCTTCTGAATTCAGGCTTAAATATTACTGTCCCCTGAAACAGAAAGGATGTGAAGAAGACTCGTTATGGTCAGCAAGGGAAGGTTTATTATGCAGGTATAAGTTGGTGTCTGCTTCATGGAAAGGACTCCCTGGTGATTCTGTCACCTTCCTCTTCCTGGTACAGAAAGGAGATACCCTTACAAATGGAGGTCTCCAAGCCAGTGCAGTGACACATGCCTGTAGTCCCAGCTACTCAGGCTGAGGCAGGAGGATGGATTGAGCCTAGAAGTTTGAGGCCTGCCTAGGAAACATAGTGAGAACTTGTGCCTTACTAAGAAAAAAAATACAGACAAGATTTACTTTACACACTTGGATCTCGTGCTCATGGGTCCAGATCTGTGTGTCAACCAACCAGAGATCAAAAATATTCAGGGGAAAAAATTGAGTCTAAAAGAGAATTTAATATAGAGATGGATTGATGTGTCCAGGAGGAGGTGCATAGGTTATGTGCAAATACAGTTCATTTCTTTGTGGTGCTGGGATTTGAACTCAGGGCCTCATGCTTTCTAGGCAAGTGCTCTACCACTTGAGCCACACCACCAGCCCTTTTTCGCTTTGGTTATTTTTCCTATAGGGTCTTGCATTTCTTCCAGAGGTCAGCCTCAGATAGTGATCCTCCTATATGTGCTTCACACATAGCTGGGATCACAGGCATACACCACCACACCTGGCTTGTTTATTGAAATAGGGTTTTGCTAACTTTTTGCCCAGATTAGCCTCAAGCTGTGATCCTCCTGATCTCCACCTTTTTGCATAGCTGGGATTACACACATGCACCACTGTGCCTGGCCTGTGCCTTTTTATATGAGGGGCTGGAGCATCATCTGATTCAGTATCTACCAGGGGTCCTAGAACCCAATCTTCTTTGGATACAAAGACTCTATGACTATAAATATAAATTTCCTTTTTAAAGTAGTAACTTCTGTGTAATCAAAGCTTCTCCCTGTGACTGCAGTGTGTTCAAATCAGTTCAAAATAATCCTTAGGCTAAAGAGGCAGATTTGGGGGTGTGGTATTCTGATTTCCTCCAAACCCCTGGCTTCTAAATCTTGCAGTGTTCCCTCCTGTCCAGCTTTCACGAATATGGGGATGAGAACTCGGGATCAGTGCCCAGCCTTCGCCAGGAGAGTTGTGCCAAGTTGACAGCACAGGTTCAGTGTGATGCCCTGACAAGCTCACGCCTCAGGCAGGGACACATCACGCAGTCTAGGAGGATGTGGGTGAGAGGCTAATAGGACAGCCATCAGCAGGACACGGATGGTAAAATGAACCCAGGAGATTGTGCAGAGAGTGAGGTGAGAAGGGAACAAAGCCCAGCCCAGGGCCTCCAGAAGCACCTGCATTTTAGGGTAGGAAGGGGGAGAAAGTCCCAGCAAGGGAGATGGACAAGAAGCAGCCAGAGAGAGAGAGACGGGGAACCAGGAGCGTGGAACAACGCAGACAGGGAATGGGGGGGGACCTCCCATAAGGGCAAAGTGGATGGCAGGGTCCTCTAAGCAACTCAGCACTGCGATTCATGCCTGTGGTGACAGAGCCAGTTGGAGTGAGTTGAGGGCAGGGGAGGGGAGGAAATGGCTCATGCAGCAGTGGGCATGAGCAGCTGGAGAAGTTTGGCTTGTGACCTTAGCGGAGGTGGGGTACAGTTGTCACTCCTGGCTAGGGGGAATGTGTGGCATTTGAGTTACAGGTTGGGAGAATCCTGTGTCCTAAACAGGGGCAGATTCACCTGCAGTGTTCTGCAAGCTTCTGCTGAGTTTCACCTATTACCTCTCAGCACCGTGCAAGGAAAGATGCAAAACTCAGGACTTTTCTCCCAGGAGGTCCTTGTTCCACGGTCCTGTCTCCTCTGTGAGGCAGGTAAATGTCTCTGTGGTGGAGGACGGAGTCACCCGGAAGAGGCATGGGCTGGGCTCCTAGGGACCTTGGAAGGGGGAGGGGCTCTGCTCAGCCAGACGAGGGCTGGACAAGGGAGGTGGCATCTCTAATGGCTTTATAGAAGATCTAGGAAACCTCCAGGGAGAGGGAAAGGAAAGGGGAAGAGGGACTGGGCCTCTGCCCCTGGGGATGACCATAAATACCCAGGTAGGAAATAGAGCAGTTTACACAGAGCTGTGGATAGACACTTAGGAAGAAGGCCACAGCCCAGACCCGATGCCTGCCCTACAGATTAAAGTCCCTGGGGATGCATCCACACTGGACAGCCTTTCAGGGAGATGGGGCACCGAAGGACTTTCAAACACCCCTGACCTTTATCTGTCCATTCTGTGGAAGAGGAAGAAGGGGGGGGGCAGGGCAGGGCAGAGGAGGAGAAGCCAAAAAAGCCAAAGGCGAATTGTTGGACCCTCCAGGGGATTCTGTGAGCATCTGCTAGGAAAACCTATCAGCCCTGGGAAGGAAATCGATGAATCTTTTATGATTATTTTCGTTTTGTATTCATTAAAGGACCCTCCACTATTATTATCAAACCTTAATTGGCTTGGCTCTCTGCACAGCCCTCTCCAGCCCCTGCTCCTCCCTTTGGCATCAGAAATTCCTCAAGCGAGCTTGCATGAGTGAGAGCGAGGACCATGCGTGGGAACAGGGGCGGCGGGGCAGAGCCCCTCGGAAGATCAAATAGAATTGCAGTGGTGTCTCCTTCTTCTCTCTGATCATATATTAATCAGTGTATCTCGGGCTTTTGCTCAGATTCTTAGGCCTCTTTGCTTCCTCAGCCACTGGAGAACTTTTCACCCTCCTCCTGTCACCGCCTGGCAGGAGCAGTGGCTTCATGCATGACAGCCTGCATCCTTTGTTCCAAGTGGGTGCTGGACATTGAACCAGCAAAATATGTGGGTTACCTAATTTACTCCTTTTAATACACTTCAGTGTAATTATAACTGTATAAAAGGGAAGACAAATTGGCAAGTAATTACAATGTTAATTTGGCAATGTTTCGTCATATTGTGGAGATGCGGTTTCCTCTCTAATTGTATTGGCGGGGAAGCGGCGGGGTGGGGGGGGGTGAGGGGACATGTTTGTCTCCCTGAAGCTTATTGAAGGATTCTTGAGGATGGAAATGAAATGCACAGGATACAGGAAGACCAGCTTTCCTCCCATCACTGTGCCTTTATTTGCACGCATTTTTGCAGCCTCCTTAAAAAGCTAATGCGTTTATTCGGGTCTAATTAATGGAATGCCACCAAATGCATAATTAGGCTGTGACAGCCTCGCTGATGAATGGCCTTGGGTGTGGGAACTGGAGATACCCCCCCCACACACAGTTTAAAGACCTGAACACTTCCCTTTCAGAATCTCACGGGCTGTGCATGCCTCACCACCGTCCCCCCAGAGAATGCCACCGTGGTTCCCGGAAAATGCCCCAGTCCGGGCTGCCAAGAAGCCTTCCTCACCTTCCTGTGTGTGATGTGTGTGTGTAGCATGATTGGTGCCATGGCCCAGACGCCCTCCGTCATCATCCTTATCAGGTAAGCAATCGGCATAGCCTACAGACTCTGTGTGAGTCTCATGAGCTAGTTGACACAGGGCCACAGTGAGGAACACAGCTGCCCCAGGCTAACGGGAATCGATTATAATCAATAGAGACTGTACAGCAGGGTACAGGCAGGAGGCCACGCTCATGTCCTCCCAGACACAGCCTCTGCCAAGGGTTCCACATTGATCTGATCAGAGAGCAGCGTTGGTGGAGTAAATGAAAATGACACTGAACTAGCCAAGACCCCCGCAGTCCAGCCCCGCCACTCAGCAGCCGTGTAGCCTTGGGCACATCTTCCTCCAGACTTGTTTCTGAATCTATTTCAGGTGGGGAGGGTTGTCTTATGATTTCTTGCCTGTCTTCTGCATTGCTGGGTGCATAACCCATCAAGACCACCTGTGCGCAAAGCTGTAGAACAGAAGCGTTATCGTGAGGGGCTCATGGCAGGTGAGTGGTGACTGCTCTTAAACAAATAGGTCATTGGAGTGAGCCACCCAAATTCTGTCATTCCCTATCCCTGGGGACCTGTCCTGGGGGCAGGTGAAGTGGCTCACAGGAGCATCATTGAGCAGTATTCTGACCAGTTTTTATCATTTGCAAAGTTCTCTTGATTAGTGTGACAAACCTAGAATTAACTGACCCGTACTTAGTGTCCATCTGAACCAAAGGAAAAGTCACCACCCATCACCACCTACGGGAAGACTCTCCTCACTGGGTGCAGCTATATAGCAAACCAATTCAAATTCAAAGGCTGGAAATGAAAGCAAGAGTGAGATGGGTGGCAGCACCTTGCATCTGTGTTCACCACCAGACACTCTGTCCAGCTTCTTTCTTCCTCTCCTGCTGCCTGCCATATTTTTTGGTCTTTGTTATGAATTTCTTTGGAAAAGGATTTGTACACATTGCTACCTAGAAGGTCATTAGCAAGGTCTTGTGAATGGACGGCAGCCTCAAGGGAACAATAGCAAACTGCCATTTTCTGCTTAGTAAGTTTGAAAACTAAATATAAAAAATTCATACCCAGGGCTTTGCAAGGCTGTGGCTAAACTAACAAAATCGCTTGTGGCTGGTGCTTGACACACATCTTAGTCCTTTCAAAAACAGTAAGATGAGTCCAGAGCCATAAAAATATTCAGGCCCTTTTATGCAGTAACCTAACTCCATTCCTCACCATTTATCTCTGGAAAATACTTCCCTACAAGAAAAAAAAAAGCTCAATAAAGACAGATTTTTATTACAACGTTAACTATAATAGCAGAAACACCTGAATTGAAATAGTGAGTTAAATTGTGGCACTGCTGCTTGGTGGAATAATGAAAATGTTTCAGAATGTGGAAAGTGTTTATGAAATGAACCATTGAATTTAAAACTATATATGGAGGATGATTACATATAATGTGCATATGGACAAAACCCATCAAATCTCATGCATGCATTTCGAGTGGCTACCTTATGAATAGCTTATTTTTCATTAGAAAGTCTCATGAAGTTATATTGTGATATTCATATGCAAAAGGTAGCAAGAAGTAGGATCAATGACCCTCTCCACCATTGAGTGCCTAGTCCACTTTTCAGCTCCCATGATTCCCTGCAAAGATCCAGCCTCTGGATGTTCAAGTAGTAGTGACGAAGGATGAAACACAGAGAGGCTGTTGACATCTCAGTCAACTTGCAAGTCTCAGGTTGATTAACAGTTCTTGGAGTCTTTCAGGAAATATCTAATTCCCTTTAAATGGATCAACAACAAATGACCTTGGTGATCTGGGCAGGTCCTCTTCTATCTCTTAACGCCATGCAGGGCAAAAAGCACATCTTCTCCCATGCTGTCTGCTGAGAAGGTCACATGAATTCTTCATTCCATCACTCTTCTAGTCCAAAGTTCCAGGAAGGCTCAAAAAACCCGGCCATAGCCCAGATGTACACCTATACTTGCTTGGATCCAGACAGTGGTCTTGCTTTTAAGCTAGACAGAAAATCCCTGCAGGAACAGTTGCTCAGGATGTCCAGAAGCAAGTGTAAAAACTGCCACTCACTGGGCTGCTCCTGAGACACCAGCCCTGGGTTCTCATCTTAAATCACTGCATTTACATTCTTATTAGCATTCCCCTCTTACACATGGGAAAACAGTTTTGGCGGATGACTACACAGTATTTTCAAGGTCACACACCAGCAAGGCTTCACCCCTGGTCTTCAGTAATATTCAGCCTGGGTCCTTCTCCTCTTCTCGCGGGACAAGTTTCCCAACAGGGTATGAAGAGAGACCTTAGTACCTCACTCACTTTATTTCTAGTGACATGATAGCTAAAAGGAAATCAGGTTTCAAGTGATAAATATTCTAGCTCATTATACCCATGTGTTTTCTTGAGGAGAATTTGCCTTTATTTATGTGTCTTTCAAGTGAAACCTTCAAAAGAATGTGCAAAAACTGGAGCCTTGGAGCTGAGAATAACGTTGAGGAATTTGGATTTTATAATGGGTGTATTCTAAAGACTTGTGGTTCTGTCCGGAGACACTGACCATGAACCAGTCTGTGTTAGCCAGAAAGTCACCCATGCTGCCCTGGGATTACTGATCTATACTCTGTTCTCCATAATTAAATACAAATGTGTATTTCCCCAAAAATAATACATTTGTAGTTTTCCATGAAAACCTTAGAAATGAGGACAAAGATTGTAAATACAGCAATATGTCCTTTTCAGGCTGCTGTAATGTGGACATGGTTTTTCACAAACAAGAGAAATTTATTTCTCACAATTTTGAAGACTAGGAAGTCCAAAATCAAGACATTGAGAGATTAGTTGATGAGGGTCCACTTCCTGGTTCACGGATGGCAAATTCTTACTGTATCCAGTCATACTAAGATGCCAGAGGCATGTCCACCCAAGGCTCAAGCTGCAGGGTAGGTCACTGGATGGATGCCATTGGATTGTTGGATGAATTGCCCCTGGAGTCATTTAAAAATATTACCCTATTCCAAACCTGTCTCACTGCCACTGTTACTCTGAGAATGTTCTAGGAAATGTGTGAGATGGTCATTCCAGAGAACTGTTCTGGGTAAACCAAGGCTGGGAAGATTGAGTCTGTCCAAAAAAAGATCTGTGATGACAGAAAGATACATTTCCAAGTTAAAAGGTGCTGAAACTTGACGTAGATACCTTCCTTCCCAAGTGGTTTATCCACAATGTAAAAACATGCTAGTTTGGTGGACTTCATAAAATGATCTCAGATCAGTTAATACAGGTGTCCATACTTCTGATGGGTTTGCAAAGCATAAACAATGATTTTCTCAGTGGATGTTTTCCATATGCACGTATAACATTGCAACAAAAACAAACTGCTCTCAATGTAGACTTTATGACCAAATTTGCATTGAGTCTCTCCAATGACAAAATTAGCAAGCCCCAGTTATTAAAAAACATTAGTCATTTTGTAAAGAAGGGCTCTGATGAACACGCAGCAAATGACTCTGGGCCTGTTAAAGAGGAGTGATGAGAATCTTTTTTCTCCCATCTTCATCTCTTTTTACATAGGACAGTCAGCCCTGAACTCAAGTCTTATGCCCTGGGAGTTCTTTTCCTCCTCCTTCGTTTGTTGGGTACGTATCATTTTTTTATCCCTCAGTAATGAATTGGATACTAACTCCCAGGTGAGTAAAGGTGAGTGAAATTATCCCATTTCCTGGGATTCTTTTTTTCTATGGTGCTTGATATTAGTGAACAAGAGGAACCTTAAGTCTGAAAATTTTGCTCTCAGTTTAAGCACTAACCCCAGGCACTTCCTGGATGTCACAGTTTCCATGTGTACTAACTCTTGTCTTCATGCTACCCTGGATTCACATCAGTGTACGGAGGGAAAGCGATGGCCCCAAAGGGGGAAAAGTTTGATAGTACAATTTGGCACCCTCATTAAGCAAGCCATGAGCAGCTTGTGAAATGCTTCATTTATGGGGCTGCCAGCTGGGAGAAAGGCGTTCTCACAATGCCTCCCGATGTAAACTTGGCAACCTTTAAATTTTTCCAAATTGATTTAGTTTATTTACTGTAGGTTTCCAGCCTATGCAGCCTTCCCAGCACAGGCCCCATGGTCTAAGGGTTGGTGTTAATGGCTGGCCAGGTGGCCCTGCTCACAGTTGTGCCTGCCCTTCTCTTGTAACACCACATTGCTGCTTTATGAACATTCTTTGCCAAAGCCAAAGCCAAAACCAAAGCCAAAGCCAAGATCATGATAACATTTACTCCCTCTCGAATAATAAGGCTTTAATGAACTTTATATGGCAAGAGAAGGCAGACCACTGCCTGCATTTTCAGAGTAAACATAAAATTCCTCATTCCCAGTGTGCAAGAATGAATGAGAACAAAGACCTAGCTCTAGAAATGTGTGTAAAAATGTATGTAATAATGGAGAGTTGACAACAAGTCAAATGTCCAACAGCAGGGAATAAGTGAAATCAATTATGGGCTAGAATCCCAGTGGAATTCGTGTTCCCCTTCAGGACTCTTGAAAGAAAAATAATTATACATCTGGAAAGGGTTTGCGATATATTTATAAAGTATGATTAAATATGAGCCTCCAAATGGTATGACTTGTTTGTAAGAACTGAGGTTATATATTTTTTCTAAAAGTTTTTTTTTTAATTTTGAATAGCTGTTTTTATAATGACATTAATTCCTGTGTATGGAAGAAGAAAACGGATCTCAAATCTTTAATTTTTAATTTTGAATAGCTGTTTTTATAATGACATTAATTCCTGTGTATGGAAGAAGAAAACGGATCTCAAATCTTTAAATGATAGTCCCTATCTCAATACACATGGTGGGGCATGCCTGTGACCCCAGCTACACAGGAAGCATGTGTAAGAAGATCAAGGTCTGAAGCTGGCCAGAAACGTGAAACCCTACCTGAAAAATAACTAAAGCACAAGGGGGAGTGGCTCATGTGGCCCATGCCTAGCCAGTACAAAGCCCTTAGTTCAAACCCCAATACCACCACCAAAACAAAAAAACAAAAAAAGAGGAGTCCATTAATGAGATAAAGTCCTCCCCTTCGTTGTCTGTAGCAAATCATCAGTCGGAGGGACAGGCCCCAGAATCCTCCACTCTGATCACTTGTGTTTGTTGAGACACCTATGGAAACTTAAGTGGCGTCTTTGTCTTCTGTTTCATGGGAAATAGAAATCTATAGGTGTGACGATGCCCTAGATAAACTCAGCCTTAAATCAAAGTAAAACATTTGGGCCTTTCTTGGAAGATTTAGTTACACTGATTTTTTTTTTTCTCTTACCATCGAGAGGGTCAGACACACGTGTGTCATTTTGCTCCCCACCCTGAATGGTTGGGTAAACAGATAGATGTGAAATATCAATAAGTTAGAGACACCCATTTCTGAAAGTGACTGTATCTGTGGAATAGTTTCATCAATCAACAAACTAGCATTTACTGAGCATCTCATGTATCTTAAGCTCCATTGACCATACTCAGAAAAATGACCCCTTGGAGCTGAGAATGGGAGGTCTCTGAAATTAATGGAAATTTTAGGACAATTGCAGACAAATATGAAAATTCTGAGGTCTGTATCATGTGATGGTGTTAAGATCATCCTATCCCCCTCTAAAGCAGTCTCACCCGTTGCCTGGCTACCCCAGGAAAAGCAAGCAGACATTAAATAGAGCAGGGTTTTTCAACTTCTGTGACCATAATCCAGAACAAGAGCTAAGTTGTACATTGTGACCCATTACACACATGCATTTCCATAGAGAGCTGAAACAAAAATTACATGGAGAAAAAAAGCCTTTAATATGTATGGTATGTTCTGATATTTCCTACTCTATTCCATGCTTTTAAGAAAAAAAAGTTGGGCATGACCCACTGTATTGATTTTATTGCCCATTCTGGGTCACACGTCAGTTTGGAAAACCCTGCCCTAGAAAGATATGACACAGGTTCATCTTTTAGTCAAAAGCAGCTTAGCAAAGAAGTCATAGCACTTGACTAATTCCATTTCTTACAGCATCCACTAAGCTAAACCACCATTATTTTTAATGAAAGGCCAATGAATAAATCAAATTCCATGACATCCACAAGCTTTGTATGGGTAATGAGGACACAATAAGGGCCTCACAGTTGAGTGGGATAAAACCTGTGATTGAGTCTGCGCCGGTACAACGGGAACACGTGGGATGCAGAGTGGCCTTGGAAAGGATGCGATGATGTCTGCACTATGACCTGCAGAGTGTGTAAGAAGAGAGAGTGCTTTAGAGAGAGGGACTTACAAGGATAAAGGTCTAAGGGGTGCACAAAGGCTCCAACAGATTTGGGGGCTGGAGAAGGTGGTGGATTAGGAACTTGATGAGTTTGCCCTTTATCTCTAAGGCAAATGGAAGCTGCCAATGGTCTTTGGCAAGAGTGAGAGATGTACTGTGTACTGTAGAAAGGTTCCCTGGGTAATAAGCTCATGGGATGAGAAGTGCCTGTGCTGAGATGGTGGAGTTGAGAATTGTCAGTGAGGCAGAGCCTCCATGACTCAGTCTCTGAATGGCCAGTGGACAAACTGTTAGCCTACCATGTCTGCAGACCCCATACCTCCAGATTTACCATATTTTAAAAAAATATACAGACTGTTCTTTGTCATTATTCCTTAGCCTTGCATATCATGATGATGATTTAAAATATTTGGAGGATGGAGGCAGGAAGATGAAAGTTCCCGGGATGACAAAAATGCTCTACATACAGTACTGGGCTGGCTTGTATAGATGCACCACCCTTGGCAGGGCACTTTGGGAAGACCTCTGTTTCCAGACACTTGGCCTTGGGGAGTGTAAGAAAAGAGAGCAGGACCTAGAAGTGAGAGCCACATTGGTTTCCTTTGTTACTTATGGAAAGGAGCTGTTAGAAAGGGCAGGATGGTCAGTGTGGATTGAGTGATGCCCCAGAAGAGAAGGGTGAATGTGGTTGGAAGCAAAGAAATTGAGGTTGATGGTGAAGTGATTGATCGTGGCACCAGGCTGGCTAAGGAAGAGGCAGCAGGAAGTAGAAAGCAACAAAGAGACACTGGAACTGTAAGAACTTGAACTATTTGTACTCAATAGTAGAAAAAGAACTGGGACCTGAGGACAAAGCTTTGATGTCTGGCTTAGAGATCACAGAGGTGGGGCAATTACAAGAGATAACAAAGCCTAGGGTATGGCTGGCTAGAGAGAGATAGGGCGAACAGCCTTGCCGTTGAGGGCAAGTTGGCCAAAGTGTACAATCCCATGTGAATGGACAAGTTCATGCTGTCCAGGATGGTTTCTGAAGTTGAGTAGTGGAGGAAGCCACGGCGCTGAAGAAGGGTCAGTAAATCCCCATTGAAATCATCAGGCTGCCATTCTCTTTGGGTTGTGGACCAACCATTTGCTCAGCATCTGATCAAGAATCTCCTTCCTGGGGATGGAGCTCAGGGATAGCTCGCCTAGCATGCATGAAGCCCCGGATTTGATCCCCAGCACTGCGAAAGGAAACAAACAAAAAAACCAATCAAAACATGCTCCTGGGGTCCACTATGTACCATGTGTGTCACATGGAATCAAACATTCACTGAGCTCCTTCCCTAAGGTGCTATCTAGCTGCTCAAAGAATGTGAAAACATGCAGCAGCCAGTATCCCTCCTTCGGGGCCTCCAGTAGGGGAATGAAGCAGGTGTGGGGAAGGCATAAGGTGAGAAGAGGTACAGAGGACATTGAATTTCAAGAGAGAAGACTTCATTCAACTGGGTAGCTGTCTCTGGGGAGCAGGTGAGGTTTCAGAGGGGAGAGTAGGCTGTACATTGGGAATCCTGATCTGGGGAGCTCAGCTGGAGAGCTGGATAGAGCAGTGGGATTGAAAGACAGAGACCAATGGGAGCTATGAAGTATAGATAACAGCTATTGAACTACCTCCCCCATCCCCAGCTAACTAGCAGACAGCAAAGGAGAAACAGAAGCTCAAGATGCAACTGAGGGTGTGAGTTTAAGCGCTGTGACTGGCCTATAGGTAAACTCTCAATAAACCAACAGAACAAAGTCTCTCCAGCCACCAACACTGTGGTTTTCCAGAAGAAACCTGCTAGGCAGAAAGCATTGGGAAGGTCACCCTCCAGGAGCATCTCTCTATGCAGGTGTCATCTCTGTGCAGACTGCCTGTGGGGCTTGTCGATTCGCGAATTACTCTGGAAAGTGCATCTTGGACTCTCCTGATGTGGTGCAAAACCTCCTACTGTGAGCATCGTGTTGAATAGCAGGAAGCTTGTGCAGAAGGGTGCTGTTCACTGCTGCTTTGAAGGAAGTCTGTACAGTGTGTGTAGGGAACCCAGGTGAGAGGTGGTCTGGATGCATGGAAGACCCTTCCACTCACCTGTGCATGTGTTGTTTAGTCCATAAGCATTTATTAGGTACCAGGTGCATGCCAGGCTCTCTCAGGGCTCCTGGTGTACCTGCACTTTGGTGTCACCCCATATTGACCATAGACTCCTCTGCAGTCAGGCACACCTGGGTTTAAGTCCAACTCTGCCATCGAGGTGGCCTTTGACAGGCTAGTTACGCTCTGGAGTCTTTGCAACTTTAACAAGAGGCCCAGGAATGGAAATGAGGTCACAACAGCTCATTCTGACTTCTCAAATTTGAGAAAAGTGAATGCCAGGTGTCCCTGGAAGGCGCTTGCTGATATCAAATGTCAGCAGAGAAACTCATTGATCATTGCAGACTACAACTCCTGACATCCCCCAACCCCTGAGCTGGTTGTAATAGTAATCCCACCAGGCTGAATTGGATTCTGTGGTGAATTCAAATCCTGGCAGGTAAACTGGAAAGGAATGGTTATCTTTTTAAATATAAATGGCAAAGTCATTTTCAGCTATTTTGTCCTGTAAAGAAATGTGGATTTTAAGTTTAGACCAAAGAGTATAAATAGGACCTGCCTTTTCAACCCTGGGAGCGAATTAAATAGTCAGGATAGACGCACACACAGAGCCCTGAAGTTTAATCTCTGTTAATAGACTTCAGGAAAACAGCTGCAAGTTTTGCATTGAAATATATATAGCAGCAATTTGAGCTAGAGTAAGATTTAATCCTTTTAATATTCCCTGTAATAACAGGGAACCACAGAGCGGGCACCTTTCCTCCCAACACACACAGTGGGCTCTCAGTGACCCCATGATGGGGCCCCATGAATGCCTGCTTTGTCCTCAAGTTCTGCCCAGGAGATACAGGGGAGAAGAGACCTGTCACAGAATCCAAGAAAGGATTCTTCCAACAATGCAGGTTCTAATGAAATTCTATAACACCAACAACCTCCCCCCTCATGTATCCAAGAGCATAAAAGTGAAGATGCTCAAAGCAAGAAGAGGCTAGTGCCTAGAGTACACTTTACACACTTGACCTCCCTTCTAGAAACCACCTAGAAATACCTGATTACCCTCCAAACTGACTTGCTCTTAGGACGGGGAAGATTCTTGCCACAAGAGATGATTCGCCTTCTTGACTTGGAGGGTGTTCTGTAACACAGAGTTGTACTGTAGAGAAGGGATTTAAGATTATTCTTTTAGCCAAAGAACAGGAAGGAAACCAGATGTCTTGAGAGCTCTCACCAATGGGATCTCATTTCATCTTTCCAAAATTGTGCCTATTTTATGAACAGCAACTCTGAGATTTGGTAAAGCTGTGACACTTGCCCTGGGTCCCACAACTCCCAAGTGGCAGAGTTGGAATCCAAATTCAAACTCTGTCATCTCTAGTTTCCTTCACCACCAAACATCTGGGAGATGTGCACTCCATGGCTGGAAAAAAAAAAAAGGTGACAAGGACTACTGACAATTCAGTATCTCTTCCTGCTGACACGTATCTGGTAGAGGCATTCCGCCAGACACTCAGAGAGCTTGTTGACAAAATAAGGCTCCCAGGCTGGCTCTGTGCATTAGTCACCCTGCAGACGAGAGAGCTCCGCATTTTGCAAAGATCAGAACCGCTGTGTGTTTCTCTCTCTCCATGCTTGAAAACCAGGCTTGCACAATCTTAACAGAAAGGTAAATGACACATTCTCTGTAGCCCTGGAAATCTCTGATAAGGGCTCTAAAAGCATTTCAAATCAAGACTTTGAATTACAAAGAAGGGGAAGTATTGGGCTTGGGGTTTTGCACTCAAACTTAGAAATAATTTCGCCCCCTCTCGGTTTCTATTATATCTAAAATAAAGAGAACGTAGCATCATGGAAGGGATTGATGATGAATGGCAGCATGCTGGAGTGAGGGGGGATCATTAATTGATTGTGCCAGTCATCGTTTTATAGAGGCTTCTCATTGGTGTGCGGGACCCAGCTTCTTCACAGGGATAACTTAGACTTTTATTTACTTCACCTGAGCTTAATAAACATAAGGGTGAGGCAAGGGTGACCAATCAGGTGAGTTTCAGAATAGCAGCGCTCACCAACCTAAAAAGATTCTGTTAGACTCTCTGCACATGTGGAACTCAAAGCTTGGTAGCTAGAGTTCCCCTTTAGGGAAAAAAAAATCTATTCAGAAATATAAAAAGAGTCTTATAAAGATTGTACTTCTGGTACTCAGCCTAGAGTTTAAAATATTATTCTAAGTCATATGTGGAACACGCATGAGATCTTTGCAAAAACAGTCACACACCTCATTTGTATAGTATTTTCTATGACACTGACCAAGTAGGTGCTTTTAGCTCTATAAATTAAAACTCTGTCATCTAGAATATATTGAGAGGCACTGAGCTTCCTAATTTCTAACTTCTAGCTCTTTCTAGGCATTGTTGTCTGCTAGTGGGATGTGACAATAGCCAGAATAAAATTGACAGTAGGGCATATGTCTATGCACTCTTTTAAAGACAGCCAAATATTATAAAAATTCTTACTTGGGTACCTGAAGGTGTTACATGTTGGCATTTTAGAGGGATATTTTGGCTTAAACAACTATTAACAAATGGCTTTTATATTCCAAATGTCCTCTGATGTGCTTAAAATACCTACCTGATTTGCCAAACCTGCATTTGTGCCCAAGAACCCATGCACTGTGGAGCATGGAGTTATCTCTCCCTTCCTTCCCAGGGCTGAGCTTCTGGATGGTGTCCTCTACAGTCTTAGCTCATCACTGCCCCGTAACAGGTGGCAGGAATGGAGGGAAATGACCTCAGGAAAGTTCTCAAGAAGCACAAGGAGCATTTGGGAGCTAATCACGATGAAATAAAGTCCTGAGAAAGGTGAACGGAATTGGATTGTCTGTTGAGTCTCAGGAACAGGCCAGTGGGTTCCATTGATCCAGATTCATCCATAATGTACACTGGCTTCCATCTCCTCCTCTTTACCTGGTGATGGGTAGGGTTGCTCAGTCGCTATCCCGCAGTTGCCATGGCAGTCAGGGCAGGGAGGATACATTCGCGGGGTGGAGTAGGGTGGGGGCTCAACACCTGAACAGACAGGTGAGTTTCCATTCTGCAGAATCACAGGAAACACAGGAAGCAGGTTGTGTGGGATTTTGAGCCCCCATTGTATTTATTAAGTCAAGCTGCTTGGGTAGTTTAATGAGGTTTCACTAGAATGCATCTCAAGGGGCTGTCTTTGGGGTGACAAGCAGCAGAGCTGGAGAGTTTTAAGAAGAAGGACTGAGACACTGGGCCTGGGAGGAGGAGCTCTGTCAAGTCAAGTTCATTGGCCTGGAGAGGATAATGCAGGCCTGTCATTAAACAGGGAAGCCTGATGCCTTCATGCAGCTTTCCCTTCTCCAGGCCACCCTTCCAGCATGGCCAGGGGAGCCTGTAGCATCTATTATATCTATAGGACAGGTGTGTGTCTTCTTGCCTCCGAAGGTGGACTTCATGGGTGTATGAACCCCCAAAACATGTTTGGTTTAGGGATAGATGAATCCTTCTAGACTGAAGGTATATATCTCAAATTCTCAGAAGGACCTTCCTTAATCAAAAATACAGCTCAGATATCCTGAGGCTGACCCTGGAAGAAACACTCCAGGCCCAGTATACAGGTCATGGTCTCCCCAAGTTGTCACTGCCTGGTTCCGGTGCTATGTCTTACATCTGAGGTCTCTGGGGGTGGGTGGTACCATCCTCTGTTCTCCGGGGACTGTGGTTTTTCTGGAATAAGGAATTTGTATTAATAACTCATCTATTTTTTCCCATAGTCCAGATGAGACTCCCATAACCCCGAAACAGGCGAGAATCACCTGACAATATATCATTTTAAAATGCTGATAACCAGGCTACACCACAGATGTTCAGATTTTGTTGGTCTGGGATGGGACACCATAGCTGATTCTAACATGTAACCAGGACTAAGAGTCCTTGAGCTAGGGAGTGAGAACAGGCACATAAACACACAGTGATGTGTTTTTATAAACACACAGTGAGATGGGCTGGGGGACAGTTCTCATCTCGGTGGCCATGGCTGATGACTGGCTTTAGGTATCTGAAATGCTGTACTGGGAAAGTTTGATTGATTTGACCACACCCGCTAGAGAAGTGCTCTACCACTGAGCTGCATCCTTACCCTGTGATGGTTCTGAAACAGGTTCCCAGCTCCAAATGGAAAGTATTCCTACCAGTGTAGTATCTAGAAGAGAAGTTGCCAGTAGGTATACACACATCAATGAACATATATGTATTCACATAAAACCGCGTGTTCAGGTTCAACTTCTGGTCCCTCCGCACACTGCCTGGGAGTCCCCTGCAAGAAGAGAACAATCTACACAGCTCCATGGCTCTTTTCAGTTCCCTCTAGGAGGGTGATTGACACTGAGACTGTTTCCCTTCAGGAACGACCCTCTCAGTCAGACTCTGCAGATGACAAACAGCAGCTCTTTGCCTTGTGTTTACTGGGTACCATGCTCAAGACACACCATCATAAATACGCTGATAAAGACTATATTGTTAACATCTAGGCACAAATAACGAATCTGGGTGTAAGAGGAAGAGCTGGGATTCAAGTGCACATAATTTGGTTCTCCAGTATGTTTGCAAACCACTGAGCTATAGAACCACTGGGTTCTTCCAGTGGTCCTATAAAAAGAGTTACGCACAGCTGGGAATAGGTGAGAACCACTCTCAGATGTTCTCTTCCCTCTAACAGGCTTCATCCCCCCACCCCTCATCTTTGGGGCTGGCATCGACTCCACCTGCCTGTTCTGGAGCACGTTCTGTGGGGAGCAAGGCGCCTGTGTCCTCTACGACAATGTGATCTACAGATACCTGTACGTCAGCATCGCCATTGCACTCAAGTCCTTTGCCTTCATTCTCTACACCACCACGTGGCAGTGCCTGAGGAAAAACTATAAACGCTACATCAAAACCCACGAGGGCGGGCTGAGCACCAGTGAGTTCTTTGCCTCTACTCTGACCCTAGACAATCTGGGGAGGGACCCTGTGCCCGCACACCAGACACATAGGACAAAATTTATCTATAACCTAGAAGACCATGAGTGGTGTGAGAACATGGAGTCTGTTTTATAGTGACTAAAGGAGTTGAACTCTGTATTAGTAATCCAAGTAATCCAAGGGTCATTTTTCTTAAAAAAAAAAAATTTGCAAAAAACAAAAAAAACACAGATGTGTGCGCGTGCACACACACACACACACACCCCACCTTTTCCTCAAAATCAGAGCCAGACAGGATTCAGAATAAGGAGAGGATGGCATGGTCCTGGACGATGCTCATGCTTCCAGGCCTCAGAGTCTGCTTTGAAGGTACCTCATGGTTTTCAGGATGCTGACAGCTGCAAGCAACGGCACTTGCCAGGTTCAGGGAACAGTGGAGACCAGCTTGAAGGATGGACATTTCTGGACATACATACACATACAAAACACATGTTCAAATTGAGAACATTGCCAGATTAAGCTCTAGTGACAGACCCTGTGCCACCCTCTCCCTCCTCCACATGAAGTAGGGGTATGCAAGTCGGAGGCATGGATGCCCTGCTCCTCTCTCTCTCTCTACCTTTTGCAATATGGGTCTCTGTGTAGACGACTCACCCAGTCTGCATGTGGTTCAAGGCCCCAGAGTTCTCAGTGATGCTAATGGGTGATCCATGCTGGAGTGTATTGTTGGCCCCTCTCACCAGCTCCATGTCCATGTTTAAGACTGAGGGCCTAAGGGGGAGCTGGGTAGGGGGTCAGCACCTCCCCTACACCTGGCAGCACCTCTCAGTGGTGACAGCCACCTCCCCCAAGCCCCACAGTGTGACCTCAGGAAGCCCCAGGCCTCACCTGGCTATGACTGACTTGCTCAGAGCCGGTGAGCCCCAACATAGCTCAAGTCATTTGCCAAACCTTTTGCCATTTTTTTCAAAAAAAAAAAAAAAAAACAATGCATATGAATTTCAAACTGTTGTATGTATAATCCTCTAATACTATTTTTAACTACTTCTAAAAAAAAATCTGTGTTAACCCTTCAGTCACTAACACAGTTCTAAAGCCCGGGTTTATGACGCTGGTTGCTTTTACTTTTCTTCTTTTTTAATGCACCAAAAATATAATGTGATTCAAGGGATGCAATTAATCTATTGTAATTTTTATCATTTTATCCTCATTTGGATATTCTGCAAAAACAAGAATAGACAATGTGGTACAAGAAAAACAATGCTTCAAAAAGAGAGTGTATATGCCAGTCCTCCTGTAAAAGAATCTCATTTGAGACCACAGGGAACAATGTGATGAATTGCAAATTTGCCTTCTGGCTTTATTCCCCAAGATTCCGTGATCACTGCCAGGGGAAACACTTTTATATTTGTGCTTCACGTTCTAAGAGTCTGTGGAGGAGCAGCACATACTTAGAAGCTGGTTTGTGTGTAGGAGTGCAATGCTTTGGGGACAAGGAAGGAAGAAAAAGCATGGTTCCCTGGCACTATCTGTTGAGCAGCCATCGACATCTGTGGTAACAGAGAGACCCCCAAGCTCCTAGGAGTGACTTGTCCAGTGTGTAAAAAATGTCAATAGTGCTTTCAGGGTCAATCCTGAGCTTTGTGTGTGTTGAAAATGACCGAACCTCAAACAGAGAGGCCCTGACATTATTTCGGGTGAGAACCTAGTAGGATAACCTCTTGCACCAGCACATTAAGCCTATATGGCCATTTCCACAAGGGGATGGCTTAGGTGAGAGCACACATGTCACAGCCCAGGGCGCATTAGTTTACCTTCCACACTGCTTCTCTGACCTTTGTTCGTGCTACACTCATGGCCCTGGAAAAGACCCGCAAATACTGGTTGGCTTGCTTTTTACCTATTTGCAGTGTACTCCCAAAGCAACAAAAGAATCAGGTAAGGCAGGGCTGGGAAGAGAAGGGTGCCGAGCCAAAATTTTCACAAACCCCATAAATGGGGGAGGTTTGAGGGGTAGGTCAAAAATAAAGCCTCAAGCAAGGACCACCAAAAGAAAAGCTGTATCATGGCATGGGGGCCAGCACAATTAGGCACTTCATGTATGGTGCTTCTGAGACAGATCTTCCGTCTGCCTAAGCATTAGTCTGTCCTTGTCTGTGAATGTGGAGATACTCATCAGTATCTTTGCCAGTAAAAGGAGGGATGGTTCTCCAACCAATTCATAAAATATTGATGCTCTGATCACGTTCTGTACCGTTTTGTTTTGGTTTCGTTTGGAAAATGCACTGCTGACAGGTCACTGCCCTCCCTGGATACTGTTGTGTACCTCTCTGAACTCAGTACGTACCCACTAAGGTCCTAGACTTGTTTCATATGGGACTACTTGCTTTTAAAAAAATATTTTTAAACTCTTTGTATCTTGGATTTTTTTCCCCCTAAAATTTTAGGATGATAAAGAAAAACAACCCCAGGGTTCAGTTTTATCAACAGTTGAATATACATTTAAAGTCCCTCTGTGCAAAATGGCTTTAAAATGTGTTATGTCACCATTAAAAATCTTAATTTGTCTCACATTAGAGAACAGAAAATTCAGTGTAGTTTTCATTTTCTTTTTGTGCTCTAAAGAACCATTGTACATCCAACGCTAGGTCTAGTCCCTTGGTTATCTGTTTGGTTTTGAGTGGTATTTTGAATGAAAAGATACCTCCCTTGGTCTTACAGAAAGTGAATGCTGGCATTCTTTCTTTTCTGCTACAAAGTCCTCCGCCCAAGAATGGATGAAAAGGTCTCTCTCTCTGTTGCAACTTTTGACAGATCTTTGTGACTCCTGCATATAGACTAAAAGGAATTTTTGTGGTTTTTAACCAAAATTATTTCCCATATGAAGTAAACACATTTTCCTCCTTCAGCTGATGCTGTCAGGAAGACTGTTTTGCTCCTTCACTTCCTCTCTCCACTGAGAGAGGCCCTGAGGCTCCTGGCACCCTGGGAACACTACCCTTGCAGAAAGCCATAGTTGTTGGCTTTCCTCCCAGCTAACAAGGAGCAAGAGAAACCTGCTCATGCCTAACAGGCAAAATAATGAGAAGTCAAGAGCTTTTAAGAAATTGTTTGACAGAGTTACCAGTGTCTTCTGAGCAGGAAGGAATGCCCTTCTCTACAAAAATCACTTCCTCCTTTCTACCTCACAGTGCAAAAGCTTACTCTAGTGACAGTTTTTGAAGTTAAGTGCCATCTGGCCATTGAGATCCCCTATGTCCCTGTGTCCAGTAATGACTCAAAGTTTCCCCTCACTCACACATAGTGAGATCCCCCATGGAAAGCCCATAGGCCTGAGGTAACTCACTGGAATGTTCCCCACAAGGGCACTCAACTGATCCCTAGAAGGGTAAAAACACTGCTCCTGCATTTTCTCAGTAAAGAGATTCTGCTGTGGTTGCTAGTGGGACCTCTCCCACACCTTCCAGAGGAGGCCATTTTCTGAGGAACATATAAAGTGGAAGTGTGTATATGTATGTAAGTAGAGTTGTAGAGTCACAAAGCAACCCTTGAAGAAACATAGCTGTTGGCTACCCATGGGCCTGCCTGGTGGCTTTCTGCCATCTGCTGCTCCAGGTTCCAGGAACAGTGGTTTCTTCTTGACCTAGCCAGGCCTGTAATCTGTTGTAAGCACCACATGGGAGTCCTGAAAACACTAATCAACAGTCTTAATTAAGCAGTACATGTCAATGTGTAGAGATCAGTGTGGCTGATCATACAGTCAAGACCAAAGGGACAAGGACAGGATGAGCTACTGTTGCCATTTCTTGGAGTGCGACTGTGTCCTATTGTTGCTTTGTTTTGGTTTGGATGAGCACAGAAACCCAGGCAAGAAGTCTTTCAGTTCTACATATAGAGGGTGTTTGCTGTGGCTTGGCCATTCTTAACTGTTTGCTTGGGTGGCTTAAAAGTGCCAAAGTCAGGGGAAAGCACCATCTAATAGAGGTCTGATTGCTCTTCTGGGCTCTTCTCAAACTTGATCTGTTTCCCTATAACCTTTAGGTCAAATACCTAAAGGCACCAAGTTTTCCAAAAAATTTAAATTGGCTTAGGAAATTAACTTGAGTTTCTTTTCCCCTTTCCTGCCCTTCCTTCCTCATTCATTACCCCCTACCTTGTCCAACAGACACCAACTCTACCTCTCTGCACAAACACCTAATTTCTTAGAGCACTGGCCCCAAATGACAGCCTATGGACCCCAGCCTTCCTACGGTATTACTGTCTCCCAAGAGCAAATTGGAAGACGCTCTGGCAGCATGTGCAAGGAAGATGTTTTGTGTTTAGATGTCTCTTGTAGGGATTGTTGCCCAGAATAACATATACACATTGACTCCACACAGCTGCCACCCCTGACTGCCCCTCCTCACACTGGTAAGGAATCACAGCTAGCCAGAGTGTTTAGTCATCACGGCAGTGACAACTTGGTGTTAAAAAACCTACAACAGAAAATTCAGAAAAACAAAGAAGATCCCGTGTCTCAGAAATCTGTGACTGCCCTCAGCACAATTTTTCGTTGCAAGATTCATTTGCATTGAAGATGTATTGTATGAGCATGATATATTCTAAGCATATATTTATTCACTCCTTCCTTGACTTTAAATGTTGGCTGTGAAAAAGACATGGCCCCTATACTCTTAAAATTCACAGTTCAATGAGCTGGACAGACCTGGACAGAAACAAAATCAATGATAGAATGTTAGAAGCAAGGGTCTCTCTGGGTATGAGACTAATTCATGGCTGTGGTTAAGTTTTGACTCATAGCAAGAAGAATCAGGAAGACTTCAGAGACAGGGTGATTTGGAAGTTAAGACCTGCAGGACAGTGGGTGCCTGCTAGAGCGCTGGTGAGAGGATGAGGAGGGGAATGGCCCCTAGAGAGGACCACTAGAGTAGAGCCACTTGTTTCTGTTTGAGGACCAGCTAGCAAACACTGCAGGTTTTGTAGGCTGTCAGTCGCTATCAAAACTACTTAACAATCTGTTGTACCCTAAGATTAGCCCTAGATAGTGGGTACGTGTACATGTGCCAATAAAACTTTATTGACAAAGACCATCAGTGGCTGGTGGTAGGACCTATGTGCTGGTCTCCCTTGGAAACACAGGCTGAGGCAGCACCCCGTGTTTGGGGGACACTGACCTCTCAGCATAGGTAGAACGATGTGACACCTAAAACTCTGCAGTAGCACTGGCTGAGCCATTTCTCTGAAGGTAGATGTCCCTCAATCCTAATATTCCTGACCATGAGAATTTAGTTCAGATAGCTCACTTATTTCCAAGAAGGAGGTAAGTACCTTTTTTCATCAGACTTTATAAGTGAAGGCAACCTTATTTTCCTCTTGTGTACTGTGACAATTTGATCCACACAGCCTACATTCCCTTCCAGCTCTGACACTTGGCAGTTCAACTGGAGTGATCATCCTTTCTGTGAACGTTAGGATAAGATATGTGAGGGAGGAATGTAGGAACTAAGAGCAGAAGAGTAAATCCAGATACCAAATAGAAGATTAAATCTCTTCCCCTCCACCTATACAAAACAGTAATACTCTAAAGCTAACAGATCTTCCAAGAAGAGTGGCTGGTAAACACTAGTGATAGCTAATAATAATAGTAGCTAACATTTGTCAAGTACTTACTCTAAGCTTACTGCTGGGCTGAGCTTATCACGTTCAGCTTATTATTTCACTTAATCCCAACCATAACCCTGTGAGGCAAGAACTGTTATTAACTTTATTTTACAGGGGAGAAAAACAAGACTTGGAAGGTTCCACAATTGGCTCAAGGTTACAAGCAGAGCTGAGATTCAAACCTGGGTCTTTGAGTTCAAAGCCCATTTCTGTACTCAGTATGGGTAATTCCTCGCTAGCAAGTAAGATGTGAGGGACTCTCCCTATCTTTAGGAAGTCTCTGACTCAAATGGACAAAAGTGGGGGGGACCACACTTTCACATGCCCCCTGATATAATAAGCAGGACACTGTAGCAGCTGTGTTCTGGAGATGTCTGTCCTTCCTGTGTTGTTCTTGGTCTTGACCCTTGATCCCAGAGGTAAGAAGAAATGTGTTCTGAACATAATTTCCAAGCAGCCAGAAACTCTGGAGGCTTCATTACTGATCCTCAACACCAGGGGGAC